AAACAAGCCTCTTCGCCTATCAAGAAGGTTGCCGGAGTGGGTCTTACCATTCTGATGAAACCTGACTACAAAGGGTAATACCCAATTTCAGTTGGATGGTGCTGGAAGAAATGTGGACACACTACTGTTAGTAAAATAAATAGGAACAATAAAATGGAAGCTATCCACTTTTGAGATTGAAAGTGTGAATCTTTACTTTCTGAAGTATTGCAACAGTAGTTGCTAGGTGTAGTGAAAATAGGTCTCCATACGTTGTGATGAAATAAACTTTACTGAAAAAAATCAACCATATTGTTGATGTGAACATGCTTTGTATTCATTATAAAAACTATACACTAGATAGGTGAAGTGAAGAAAAAGTGTAATTGGACGCTATTCAGTTCTTCACATTATACAGCCGCACATAGTGACTACAAAGCACGTTCACACCAACAATATGGTTGATACTTTTCGCTATGATATAGGTCCAGCATATCTGTCTTTGGTTAACTTGTATTCAGGGTTACTAGTGAGGAGTGGAATTCTCCGAAACACTAGCATAGCCCAATAACGTACGTTGATCAAAGTGTAAATTGAACTGTACCTCCCTTGAACTTGAACTTCGAGATTAAACAATTCTCGGAATACTAAGTTTATTTATTAAACATTACTGGTTGGAAAGCTACATAATGGGTTATCTGCATTCTATCAACCACGGGAATTCGAACCCCGAGTTTTAGCATTGTAAGTTCCGAAACTCACCATTGTCCCATCGGGAGGGAGGACAAAGTATTACTGCCTCCCAGGTATAAGAGTTAGTAAATCTGTATTGCTGTAATGCACACATATTCCCATTAATGTAAGCTTTACCTGCTTTCGCCAGACACTGAACATTAGCCACTTTCGCAAGACCTAGTGTCAATAATGGTGTGAAAATACAGAAGGCAGTCACATAATATATAAGTTGTCCCGAAAAATGGAATTAACCACTCCCAGAAAGCTAATCTATTACTCACTTCTGGAGGGTAAGAGTAGAATCATGTGGGACTGCCAGTTTGTGTATAGCATATCTGTCAAGGTGACAGATAAGTTAGTTGGAAATGTCATACTCCAGTTTCAGGTGAAAACGTTAAAAACCGACAATTTTTCTGGCTTAGATTTCTACCTAAGATATGGGAAGCAGCAGAATCCCACCCCTGCTATAACTTGTATCGAATTTCTCTAGGCCTATATTTGAGAAAGGTGACTGAAATAAAAAAGTGGTGTGGTTAGGTGTTAAGATACCGAATCTAAGTACAAGTGTATTGTGAAGTTTTAAACCAAAACATTTTGGTATACTAATAATATAAAACTGTATTAGGTAAAACTTAAGTTGAACTTAAATTTAAGAGCCAAGTTTCAAACTTTGTGAAGTTTAACTTGTTAGAGAGATCTACTATACTGTATGTTGAAAAAAAATATGGATTTGAGAATAATTCTTTATAAACTTGAGAATTTTTGCAATTACCTGTTGAGGAAGAATATTATTATTTTATTTATATTAGAAACCGAGGATGTATTTGGAACTACGTGTCGTAGCTGCAGTGGTTGGGTTCCCTCCTCACTCTGAATCATGGAGAGCAAGATGCACTCACTGAGATCAATGAGAGAAGTTAGAAAGGAAACAATCAATTTTAATTGTAACAATGTCATGTGCTTTGTTCGTTTGTTGAATTTTGCGCAAAGTTACTCGAGGACTAACAATTTTAATTGTAACAATGCCATGTGTTTTGTTCGTTTGTTGAATTTTGCGCAAAGTTACTCGAGGACTAACAATTTTAATTGTAACAATGTCATGTGTTTTGTTCGTTTGTTGAATTTTGCGCAAAGTTACTCGAGGACCAACTGCACTAACCGTTCCTGATTTAGAAGAGATAGACTAGAGAGAAGGTAGTTAGTCAACACCACCCACCGCCAACTCTTGGCTACTCTAATCAAATCAACTGAAAGGGCAAGCATGTTCGTTGATAGTTTTCAAACATGTGACCCACAAATGCGAGTCAAACGTTCTAACCACCAGGTAATGTTAGGCCCAATGTATCCATTCCATTCACTCTAAGCCATCGTTGTTTCTGAAGAAAAATTTAAATAAATTCAACTGGATCAACGGTTCAGGTAAGGTTTAATTTTTGACCACTCATATTTTCAAAGACGTCACTGAAAACTCAATCTGGATGATCCGACAGGTTTCTAGGAGTAGGGGTAGTGAGATAACTTTAGTACTTGTATTTGTTCAAATAAGTCTGTTAATTGATTTTCACTAAAATTGTAAGTTTGCAAATTATACTAACAATTAAAAGTTTATAAAGTGCGTATAAACCTTTTAAAGTTTAATGTTTGTCTGGCATGCCCAGGTAGTTAGGGCACTCGACTCGCAATCTACGAGTTGCGGGTTCGAATCCTCGTCCACAAATGGTCATCCAGCAGTAGAGCGTTATAATGTGACGGTCAATCTCACTATTCGTTGGTAAAAGAGGAGCCCAATAGTTGGCAGTGGGTAGTGGTGACTATCTGCCTTCCCACTAGTCTTTTACTGCTAAATTATGGACGGTTGGCACAGATAGTCCTCACGAAATTCAAAACGAACCAAATTTTAATGTAATATTAGAAAGATTCCATAATTTATTGGTATGCAAAGTATGTGAATTTTGTATGATATTTAATATTATTTTTCACATTGTTTTAATAAGTATTTTTCAAACTTACGAGATTGGAAATAAGAATAAACGAGTTTAGCAAAGTTTGTATTAATTCTAGTATGGATTAAGGCTTGAAAGTTCTGCGCAGGATGCAACTGTGAAGAAAAACTTATGGTGTGGAAGAAGTAGACCTTATTATGCACTATAGTCCTGTGTAGACAGTTCAAGTAATGTGACTTTGGAGATGCAGTATATACATACTGCAGATAAAGGTACCTTAGGCCCAGTGTTTTCAGAAGGTTCTGCAGATCCAACCAGCTGGTAATGACAACAGACCAGTGAAACTCGTGTAGTAGAACAAATAGCTCCAATTAATCATATGGCGATAAAAACAAAACAGGTGAACAGGACAAATGGCTCCAATTCTGAATTCATGGTTGCACTAGTTGTGATAACGTACAACTGGAAAGTTGATTCCAGACACGAAGTTGTAGAAATGAATGGATTATTGGAAGTATCGCTACAATGAAGTATTGTTCAATATGTCTTCAGTAGGTCAGAGAATAGTCTTCCGTGTGGTATGTTGGTTTAACACTGTCAGTCACCATATTGTCTGGCATGTACATATATAAGTGTAAACATAAATTTGTGTTTATGTGTCAGTATGTAATGTATATGTAGAATATCTAGTGTAAAAACAAAACGAACGAAAAGAGATTGGAATTCCAATTCCAATTAAGTTGGTCTTGTGATTATGTATTTTCTCAAATTTCCTTTTAAGTTAACTTAATAATTCTAAATATTGCCTTATAGCTGGAACTTATTTATCCAATAGTAGCTGGATATTAATGAAAGGTTATATTAGGAACATGAAAAGTTGCTTCCCTTATATGTAATTAAAAAAAACTCAAAAATACTCATAAAAACTGCAACACACAAAATGTGAAATCGCAACTTAGCATGTATCTCCGCATGGACCCAACAAACCTTCATGCCAAATTTGGTGAATATCCATTAACAGTGGCCGAAGTAGTGGTAAAAAACGCGAAAACGCCCATAAAAATCGCAGAACGCAAAATTCAAAGCTGAAAATTTGTATGTGTCTTCTCATGTTCCCAATGAACCCCCATACCGAATTTGGTGAAAATAATTTACAAAGAGCGAATTGGTGGTCAAAAATCGCCCATAAAAACTGCAAAACTCAAAATGGACGTAATGAACCTCCACACTAATTTTGGTGAAGATCCATCCACACCCTTCGAAGTAGTTACATGGACATACAAGAGACAGTACTATTATATATATTTGCTGAAGTTACACGTGCATATCTGAATTGGGATTTGATTCTATGTTAGAAGATGTTGGTACCAATAGAGTTTAGTTCATTGGAGGTTAGTTTACGTGTTTTTCTTTAATTAAAGGTAACTGTAATACGAGGACATGTTCTCAAAATAAAGATGGGGAGTTAGCTGCAACTGGTTGAAGCTATATCTGAGTAATTATATGTTTAGTGACAGTGAATCTATAACATAAAGAATACACAGAATTTGTCATATAGTGTCACTATATAAAGGAGAGACATTTAAATATCAATGAAGTTTAAGGGATATTTAAAGATAAATCAGTGTTGTAAGAATCTTTTGGAAGGCAATAAAAATTATTATCACTGTTGAATTAGAATTTTCAACTTGAACGACACCTCATGCACAAGTAGGCTAAACAGTTAGATTAGATACTCATTGGATTCAGCGGTAACCATCTTTAATTTTGAACCACTCGCCGGAGGGAAGGAACCAATCAGCAACATCCACTCCAAAATGGACTTTCTCCATTTCTTTGAACAAATTTATGGGACTGACTTTAGTTTTATAACACACTTACAGTCAAAAGTGTGTAGCTTGCTCAGCAGCATTATATCTAGATCAATCAAACCTGACGCTAAAATCTGGGGTTCGGTTCCTCGCGGTGGACACAGCAGATAGTCCAATGTGCTTTGTTCTAAAAACATTAGGCCACACCCAACTCTAGATTTAATTTGGACAGCGATGTTTGGTTTGAAATTATTTTCGACTTAACTTAAGAAGGAATGTTAGGACTTACTTGATTCTATTGTTTTCTCTTCTTCTATGCAAACGAGACCCAATTCTCTTCAGCAATACAATAATTCGCGAAATTTGTTACAATAATAATGTAACAAACTCATAAGGAGCACTATGTTTGTGGTTGATTTTCATATGCTTTAGTACTTCCAGTTTCGTTCACACTGTATTTGTTTTGTATGGTATATACAAAAGTGTTTCAACTTATTCGAAAATTGATTAAGTACATATCATTAAAGGATAAAACCTCATTTAAAAGTTTCCAGTGTGAAAATTCGTCAAAGTCTGCATCTGTGAAGTCGAAAGTTAACGGATAACCTTACCTTCACTATGTAGTCTTGGAGGATGTTTGGTGCTAGAGTTTTTTTGGTCACTGATAAGAGGTAAGAGATGTCGTTCTTGATAAAGTTCAGTGGTTCTTTTTATGTTGGGAGGAATGTGCTCATTTATTTCTTCTACGATGTTTTCCAGTTTTTTCACTTCAAAGCTATGGCCACTAGACGAATTATCATTCTTCCCAAATTTGTCTTCTATATTGTTGTTTAGAGGTGATGAACTAACTTGAAAAACAATCAAAATAAATACGTTAATATACGTACACCTGCTGTATCTTCTTTAGGTAAACATTTACAACATTATCAAACAATTACGTAATATTTCCTGTAATGTTACTTATATATTTTTTTAGTAACTACAAATTCGTAATTCCTGTAATTTTTTTACAAAAATTATATGTAATAGATTTAATTGGGTATTTTTATTACTCACTAGAAAAAAAGCACGAATAAGAACATTTGTTAATATAGGCAATCACCTCTGCTGATCACCTGAGTAAAAACTAAGGTGAACATGGCAGTCACATCTACTGATCACCTGAGTAAAAATCAAGATGAACATGGCAGTCACATCTACTGATCACCTGAGTAAAAACCAAGGTGAACATGGCAATCACATCTACTGATCAGCTGAGTAAAAACTAAGGTGAACATGGCACTCACTTCTACTGATCACCAGAGTAAAAGCCAAAAGGTGAGCGTGGCAATCACCTCTACTGATCACCCGAGTAAAAGCCAAAAGGTGAATATGGCAATCACCTCTACTGATTACCCAAGTAAAAGCCAAGGTGAACATGGCAGTCACCTCTACTGATCAATTTATAAGCGAATAGATGACAGAAGATACATAGTCTTGGTAAACAAGTGAAACATTGGCGAAAAGGAATCCAAAAACTGTCAGTGTTAATGAGAAGGAAGGAAGTAGTTAATAAGTTAGGATGTTGTATCAAATGGTAAACTTGTTTTTCAATATGAGATTATTTTATTACCTTGAAAACCTATATACCTATGTAACCAAGTGAGTATTGGAAGAAAAAGGTTTAGTCCAAAATGAGAATATTTCAAAGAAAGTGACCTGTTTTAATTTTAAGAAATAGCAGCAGAACTTCAGTAAGTCTTCTTTGTTAAACTATACAAGTTTCAGAATAGTCATGAAGTATATATACTTGCGTACTTATACTAGATAGTCAAGCTTTTATTCCACAATAAACTTTGTAGGTTTGTTGCCACTTTCAAAAACAGTTTTGTTGAAAACCTAATACATAGTTATATGAAAGAATTGACCAGTAGCCACTATTATTAATCAGTAAAGTCACCACTACTATTAAACAGTGTGGTTATCATAATTATTAAGCATTGTAGTCATCACTATTAAACAGTGCAGTAATCCTAATTATTAAACGTTGTACTCATTACTACTATTAAACAGTGCAGTCATCAATTTATTTATCTGAGAAAGATCTAGTAAAAAACGTATAACACTTTTAGATGCCTGTCAGTATTAATTATGAAAAGAATTTAACAACAAGCGTTGGACTTAAGTAGCCCTCTCTACTGCTTGTCAACAACAGAAATAGTTAACAAGACGTAACATATTTAAACAACTATCACTATTATTTCTCAGTGGAAGAAAATCAAATAATGAAACTGGTATATAACAGACCTAGGCGTCCACTATTGTTGTTCACAATAGAACAGGCATTCACTATGGTATTTTTTATCGCTATTGTTCACAAAAGATTGAACATCTACTGCCCTGTTTGTTTGTAATTAAGCACAAAGCTACACAATGTGCTATCTGTGCTCTGCCCACCACGGGTATCGAAACCCGGATTCTAGCGTTGTAAGTCCGCAGACATACCGCTGTGCCACTGGGGGCCTACTGCTATGAAGAAGTTGAACATGTAAACAACATATGACAGCTACTGCTCAGAAGCTAGTAACATGTAAACAACATATGATAGTTACTGCTTGGAAGAAGATAATCAGGTAAGCAGCATATGATAGTTACTGCTTTGAAAAGTTTAACTAGTAGACATCATATGATAACGACTACTCAGAAGAGGTAAACAGCATATGATAGCTACTGGTCAGAAGAGGTTGAACATGTAACCAGCTTATTGTAGCTAGTGCTCAAAAGGAATTGAAGATATAAACAACATATGATAGCTAGTGCTCAGAAGGGATGAACATGTAAGCAGCATGTGGTAGCTACTGCTCAGCTGAGCACTAGCTACCACATGCTGTTTACATGTTCATCCCTTCTGAGCACTAGCTACCACATGCTGTTTACATGTTCATCCCTTCTGAGCGCTAGCTACCACATGCTGTTTACATGTTCATCCCTTAAAGTATGAACACGTAAACAGCATGTGGTAGCTAGTGCTCAGAAGGGATGAACATGTAAACAGCGTATGATAGCAACTGCTTACGATATATTATGGCTCAAGCATTCTTAACTACTTTTCTCAAAAGAGTGAACAAATAAATAATGTATTACTAGTTTAGTTGTTCATCTCTACCAATCACAACAATACGAACAAGAAACAAGTAAAGGTTTAAGTATCCATCGATAATTTAAAAAATAAACAGTAGATAAACGACAAATGGTGGGTTTAGTGTCCATTTTCATTTCTCACAAGGTTGAAAAGAAAACGCGTTGTATTATATAACTAGATATCCTTTAATATTGCTCACACGAGACTAAACACACAAACAATATGTGATACATTCAATTGTACATCTTTGATAATCGCAAAATGATGACATCATAAGAAAATATTATATTTTAGCCGTCCACCATTACTTTTAAAAGTGATGAAAATAATGCATAAGTATGATAGCTTTGGGTGTTTATCAGTAATAATCACTAGAAAATGAACAGGTAAACAAAATATGACGGGATTAAGAATCTAACACGATTTTTCCTAAATGAATCAAACTAATGGATCAATGAAGACCTTTCAATGAATCCTTTAGAGAACAAATAATAAATCTAGCTTAAATCAGCCAAAGTTATTTCGCAAATCCAGGTATAATCAGGTTGATAAAATTTTTGTCCGTTGTTTTAGCAAACCCAGTATGATCTTAATGTATAAGACACTTTTTTTGTTACAAAAATATTAAATATATCTGTTTAGTAAAGACCAGTTAGATCGGGAAGACATGGCACTTTACACCCAGATACGAATATTAAATGTTGCCTTAGGGACAGAATTATGGATTCAATTTTAAAAAGTAATAATTCTTTCACTGCCTCGTGCGCATATGTACCTGGAGTACTGTTAGGTGAGTTTGGAATTTTGTTCTATTATAAAGAAAAAATATTGCACTCCAAATTTCCAAAGATTTACAAGTTTCCGATAAGTAATGAAATATTAAAACGTGTCTTTTTTTTGTTTGTTTGTTTATTAGTATGTAAGAAAATAAACCTGGCACTGGAAGAGTTGTTTCTTCATGAGCGCGACCCTGAAAGAGGTAATATTCCTGATGATAAAAAATACTTAACGACATTATTAAATATAGTTATCACTTCAAGCGACCAACATAAAGACGTACACATGACGTAGTAGTCAATCCCAATGATCTCCAATAATACTGCTTCCCAGAACACAGCCTTCTGGGAATTCTAGTTTTAAATAACTTTAATGTCCCCCTTCTAAGCGGTAAACTTCAAAATGTTTAACGCTAGAATTTGAGATTCTGCCCCCCTCAGTAGACACAGAGCACAGATGGCACATTTTGTAGCTTTGCACAAAACAAAAATTGATTCTAATAATTTTTCCTTAACTGCTGAAATGACTTTTGACGGCGTATGACTTAAGGGTATGACTTATAAATTACAGACAAAATATTGTAATTGCTCAAACTATCTCTTACGATGGCTGTAAAATAGCCTAAGTAGAAAGAAACTCTAAACGCCAGTATTACGAGTCATTCAAAAAACAGTGATAAGTCTGCTGCTACACGCTATGAAAATAATATCTCTCATGATTTAAAGTTAATCTATGACACTGTGATAATACTGCCCTTTGGATAAGTAACAAGTACATAGTATCTTGCAGACCAGCTAAAAATCTGCACATTTTATTAATCACACTACTTCAACAATTAGCCTAAACCCACGTAAGACACAGTTTATAATAAAAGTTACAGTAGAAGTAATAAATAAGAAAATTAAAAAACGAAAATAAACTTTTTTGTGTGTGTATGATTAACTTTGGATATTATATATATATCCTAGATGAATTATATCCATAATATTAGGTGAAAGGTTTGTATATTTGTTTTAGCTCAAAACTGCACAATGGGATATCTGCGCTGTGCCCCCCCCCCCCCCCGAGATGATCGATCTCTCGAATTTTAACGTTACAATAAAAGAAAGACTTGCTAAAGGATGAGCTTCTTACAAACAAATTATATTATCCGTATATTTAAAAATATAAAACAAAAATTATAGTTTTAATCGAATATGGAATCAAGAGATTTTATTAGATTCTACCAATAATTATAATTTTGATTGTATATGGAATTTAAAAAAAATTATTAAATTCCACTAATAATTATAATCATAATTGAATGTGGAATTAGAAGATTTTATCAGCTCTACGATATTGTAAGCTACCCCTGTAACATAAACAGGTGTACGTGCTAGTACTTATTAGTATTATAATGACAGTTTTAGTAAGGAAGTACTTTGTTTATCTAATAAGTTTAAAAAATATTTTTACGAGATAATAAAATAATAAAGAAAGAAAGAAACTTTATTATATTTTTTCGTAGAGCGTTCTATATCTTACTTTATAATTAGAACCTTTTATCTCGTCCTGTTGGCGGGATAGGGTCTCCTATTTTCGAATTTCATTTTTAAACTTTAACTCATTATTTATTTTATTCTGGAGATTTTGTACAAAATTTACTGTGTTTCTTTTTATAATATTTAGAGTATTATTTAATTTTCACTTATATCCAGTTTTTGAATTCATTAAAACTTGTTCCTTTATTTGAGTTTTATCTCAATTCTATTATAATGCTTCCATTCTTTTGTTTCTATGATGTTTCTGCTTTAGCCTCAAAGAATTTTGTGCTCTCTTATTTGTGTCCACCAGTGGATCAGCTGTAAGCTTCCGGACTTACAATGCTAAAATCCAGGGTTTGATTCTCCTTGGTGGACCGAGCGCAGATAGCCCATTATGTAGTTTTGAGCTAAAAATATCAACGTAAATTACCCTTTTAATTCTAACGTCGATTTAAAACTTATCAAATAAGTTTTATAATTTAATTGTAACTTCTCCTTACCGACTCTAAGCAGTTGAGACTGATTTACCATTGTGATGACTATTACCTTCGCATAAAGACTAGTACTTTTAAATGATTCTCGAGGTGGGTATGGCACCACTCATCATAGTTCGTGGGGATAAACCATAATTTTTGATCACATCGAATTTAGAATTAATACATGCGAAGAGTGATAAGAAGTACGGATATGTCAAATACCCCGAAACTCCTTAAACACCACATTGTTTTATTTAGCTCCCATACGACAAAGAAACCATTTCTGAACTGATAGATTCCCCGGTGGATCAGCAGTAACTTTACAGACTTTCAATGATAAATACAGAGTTCGATTCACTGCGGTGGACACAGCTATAGCCCAATGTGGCTTTGCATTAAAGCAAATATATCCTAAACTAAAGAAATGATGTTGCACAACATAACATTGGACTTGGGCAATCAAAATAGTAACTTTAATTTTTCTTAAGGGTCATGCTTAACCTAGCGGTTAGAGTATTGGACTGTGAATCCACGAGTTCGTGGTTCGTGTCCTGTTCCCATGACATCGACCTTTCACTTTGGAGCCGTTGCTAGTTTATATATATGACGGTCAAAACCTACTATTTGATTAAAGCAGCCAAATAATTGGCAATGCATGCTGTTAGCTGGATGGCAGCTACTTTCCCTCTATAAGTTTAAAATTAGAGACAGCTAACTTTGCGCGAATATCTGAAATTAATAAACAATTTTACTAGCCAGTACAAGTATTTCTTAATAATACGGTCATTAATATATAAAAAATGTCTAAAAATATTTTCTTCGAAATCTAGCAATATCTTACAGCCTATTTCGCGTACAGCTAAATGTTTGACGAAACATTTTGGATTTTAATAAAATCAAATAGACAGATATTTTTGGTCTCCTACTTTCTTTCAAAAACTCGTGTCTCAGTAACTGCTTTGCTGAAGGTCTTGAGGTTATTTTGGTTCTTATACAGCTCCATATTAAATCTGCAACAAGGATTTCATCTTTAGATGTTATAGCAGCTGCAGGAAACGCCTGATGAAGGTACTTGCAGAAAACAGCTGGTTCCTTTAAGTATCTCAGTATTAAAGAAACGTTATTTCGAAATGAACGGTGGACTGGTTTATTTAAGCTCTTTTTCCTGAAACAGTTGTTTGAAGCCACCTCCAGGAACAAAATACCAACACTATAAATATCGCATGAGCTGGGACTGATCTCTCGCTTTTCTAACCTACTAGCAGACCTACCAGTTTTTCTAAAGACTTCTGGTGGACAGTAAATGCTAGGAAGACCAATGTCTTCCACTGCACACTTGTCCAGAACTGAGTGATAAACAGATCCAAAGTCAGTTAACTGAGCTGTCAACTCACTACTAAGCAAGACGTTTAAAACTGAAATATCCAAGTGGTAGAGGTTTAAGTCGTGCAAGAAATGAACGGCATTTAAAATCTGATACATCCAACTTCTTAGAAAACTAAAACTCTGAGATGATCTTTTAAAGTTCGACGTCCGACTGAATTCCAATAGGTTCATTCTAGCACGTGGAATCATGAAAGCAACTAACCCTATTTCATTAGTTAGGTTGAAAACTTTTAAACAAGGAAGAATATTTTGATGTTGCAAAGAAGGCCAATAAAGTAACTCAGCAAAATGTAGTCTTTTAGTGAGTTTAAGTGCAATTTTTTTGTCTGTGTTACAAATCCCGTATACAACACCAAAAGAACCTTTTCCTAGCATTCGTCCACATTTCATACCAGTCACCTCCTGTATAAAAGACAAATCTGACTTATAAGCGTTTGATATTCTATAGTGGACACAGAACTTCTTTATATAAATTCTTATATTCTTCATTTCATTGTTCAAAGACTATATAATTTCAATTATTAGATTAATTCACACTTAATCAATAAACTCGATATTTTTTTGGGAAGGCTTTGAGATGGTCAGGATGCTGCCTTTTACGTTCCTCACTGTAAACTGATATCCTGGATGAAGACGGTATGTGTGAAGTTAGGTGCAAATTCAATAAAAATATATTTGTCAAACTTAACATGATTTACAATATCGTCTTAATGAACATATAGGTTATGTACGTAATAAAAAATGCTTATTTCTTCACTTGTTGAATGCGCTGTCGAAACAGGTCATTCAATACAATGGCATGAAACAGTAATTTTAAATTAACTTAATGTTCAAAGTAAATTGAATATTAGTGAATCAACAAAAATTTTGAGTTGTAAACTGAATGATTCTTTGTTAAACAGATATGAAGAGTTAGTTAGTGCTATCGCACAGCTACGTACGGAAATACTGATTTTATATGCATAATATTCAAACCACCCTTAAAGTTTACAACGAATTAAACCCTTTCCTTATAAAACTACCCGCTTCTTATCTATGTTTTTACTCCTGGTGATGGTAGATTCGGCCTAATAAAGTTATTATTTTGCATTTTAAACATTGTTCTTACTTTTTAGTCGCCATAGCAACAATGACAAAGAAAGTAGTGGCAACGTTACTCAATAATGTGGAACAATAGTAGGTATTCATAGACGTGGGTAAAATGAAATCCAACTAACTCGAAAAATATACAGATTAATTCAAAATGGAAGAAGGATAAAATTTCAAAAGTTATAGTGAGAAAAGTAAGTCACAGATGTTTCTTAATCTTAAAGTGCAGTTTTTTAGCAGCTGTAGGAAACGCTGTTATAATTGAATATACTAAAGCACAGGGAATTACGTGTTTATTTAAACACTTTTTATTTGGCGAACGTTCGATTTCATTGGCTCAACTGATACATTAGCCGAGGTTTCAAACACAATTATATAGATTCAGCTCAAACTAAATATATCAATCTTTTGCTTATACATTTAATACAGGTGATAAGACTAAATAAAAATTATAAATAAAAAAAATTCTTATTTGCACAGAAATGCAATTATACAAACACCGATTTGTACTAACACAGTAACCGCATGACGTTAGTTGTACAACAAGTTTAACTAAACAGTTTAAGTATTTCTGCACATGGTTTATTTTACACTAACATTTGTAGTATGTTTTTTATTTAATTACACATTATATTCACGTTTATAGGTCTGAGTGAGGACACCTAACCTAAAACACATTATTTGGCGGTTTTGTGTGTGTGAAAGTTTTACAACAAAACAAAAAAAATGCGTTTTAAAAAATCAACTTCTGTTTAAAATAAATTAGTTTGTACGTCCTTTCTATAGAGGTGTTTTTGTTCGAAACGAAATTGTCTCATTAATAAACAAGTTTCAAGAGCAATCAGAGATACTGCATACCGTCGCCCCGCCACTCCTTTTCGAAATTGCATGAGTTTATATTTGATAATGTAATTTTTTCTCCTTCGAAAACTCAGAAAATCCTCCTCATTTCCTGAATGATCAATGATCCGGATCATTTTTTGTAGTGTGATGAGGAGTCTCAATTTTAATGTGCCCATGAGATTTGGTACAAATCCGATCTCACTTTTCAGTTATTATGAAAAAAAATGTATTATACAAATGTTGTATATTTAGTTTACTGCAACAAATATAACAACTTTTAATTTAGAAAGATTGTCTGAGCATGTACTATGCTAGATAATTATAAAATACATGAAACACGCGCCCACTAATATATATCTGTAATAATATCATATCTATATACTTTTTTTACTTAAATTGCTATTTATTTAAAATATTCTCTTAAATAAAACTTCAGAAACTAATAAAACCCAATGCAATCGTTGCACAACCCAAAAAATTACACTTTTGCATTTATTATTATATTTTTAATGTGATGCTAACTGCAGTCACACGGCGGTAGCACCTGCAGACTTTCAACAATTGACTGTACTGAGTCACACACACGACAATTGCCAAAACATAAAATTAGTTTAGTTTAATCTATATTTTGTCATCTTAACTATTCTGGAAAAGCAAGAATGTACTTCACTTATAACCGACTTTCCAAATTTGTTATGTATCTCTGTTCTGTTGGTGCTATATATACATAGATTTACTTATTCCGTATAAAAACGTGAGTACGTGTTACGCCTATTTAATGTTTTCTGTCTGCACTTGCTGTTGCGAGTAAAAAACATTATGTTTAAAGGATCTCAGTAATGACTGGAAAGATTAACAGTCATAATAATAATGCGTGCATATTTATAAATATATATATTTATTCCATGTTTATTTTACAAACTTTTTGTTAGATAATATTTGATTTCAACACACGCTCATTGTTACAACCATAATAAATAATTTCATACGACACCATGTTTTTATACATCTTTTTTTTAAATTACCTTCGAGAGTCCATTAAAATATTAAACTAAATTCTTAGCATAAATGTTTATTTACCTCGTTACTCCTGAATGAAAATAATTCAAATAATATTCTTTATAAGCGAAATACTATATATTTTACTGTATTGAGTTATGAGATTAATTTGGAGTTATATTAAACTTAAAGCAAAAGTTCGGTAATATAATGTATTACTTTTATTATTTTAACGTGTAGTATTTTTTGTTACACGGATATCCCTCAGAGTAATCAGGTAGTTCGCTAAATATTATGTCGCAGAATATGGGTCTGTTTCCTTTTCAACTTCTAACAAGTCCGTCACAAAACATAAATAAAAAAAAACAAGTGAGTTAGATCGTACATAAAAATATATATGTCACAATCTTTAATCTGTTTGTTTTAAGTTATGCACAAAGCTACACAATGGGGTATCTGTGCTCTGCCCACCACGGGTATCGAAATCCGGTTTCTAGTGTTGTAACTCTGAAGACATGCCGCTGTGCCACTGGGAGGCATCTTTAATCTATCAAACACAAATAAAAGTTAAGTTCAACAATTAAAGCAAGTGTTTCAATGGGTGCCCTGAGGAACTATGTACAGTAAACGGCAAAAAAAAAAGGCTAAATAACAAGTTAATACTCAAAGTTAGCTTTAAACAGGAACAAAACTGCATTAAATTAAGCGCTATGAAAAAAAAAACAACAATTAAGGCAGAGACACTAGCTATACCTCCCGCTGTGAAATACTGCTGAATGTTAAAGTAAAGTTATGGTATCGTTAGTATAAGAATTCTGAGTGGCAAGTGCATGGACTTCAGAAACAAGAGGGAATCCTCAATAGCCGCGGCTGTGTTTAGATCTTAAATTGGTCAAGAGATGGAGCTACGAGCTAAAAGCGAGTGAGAGGCCAGTATTCTAAACTGGCTTTCAATTTCTGGTGATAGGTAATACTCTTTCAAGATTACAAATCTCATTCTACACTCTGTAAATTTGAATATACTAAGTAGTATACCAATGAAATGATTTACTTTTAGATCACCATTTAACTTTTGACTTCACTATTCGACTTTGCCCTTTTACCTCACCTTTCACTTCTAAAAGGAGGATTTTTTAAGTGATACTTGACAATTTTTTGTCCTTTACCAATCCATACTAGACCATCCAACTTCACGTTTTTAAGGTACTGAACCTAAAACATCTAATGAAAGGTTTTCTCTGGCTTACTGCTTTTGAGCTTTCACACATAGAGAAAAATGACCCATGACTTTTATTAATGTTTTGGCTATCAAAAGTTATAAAGCTTCTCTAAGGTAATACTTATCTTGAAAAACAGAATAATTGACATAGGCCTTCTATTAAATGTTGATCAAATTAAAACTATGAATTTAATCTTATCGGTCCTACTTAATGAGGTTTATGGTAGTTTTAAATGAAGGAACTAGTGCAACCTTTAATAAAACAGATAACCTCAATAAATTTATCGTCATTAGCCTTATAGCCCAAGTTTATTTTCTTGAAACGAAACAAAATCTATTACCAATGCTATAATTAAAGGCTAAATCATCAATAAATAAATCTACTGACATTATATTAGATTGATTATGTAAGGTGAATAAAGCAGATGCTATTAAAGATAATTTCTACTTCTATTCAAGACCATTGCAGTAATTTTAGTTTTTGGGTACTAAATGTGAACTAATGTGAAGTCAATTTCAATAGTGTAACTTACTGTTTCAAAGTAAACAACCTCTATTCAAGCCCAACGCTAATCGACTTATGTTTCAAGATAATGAATGACTGTTGTACTGTTATATATTTTGTCCATCTAAAAGTGTTTGTGCACTTATCTTTCAGAATTAGGAGAAACTATTAAAAATATGTTTGAAAACTGACTTTAAACTAAATTTTCATTCAGGCTTATATAAGCTTACAAATATACTAAGTTTAAAGGTATGGTTGTACTAACCTTTGTTGCAAGACCTGAGAAGACTAGCTGGCTTTTATACACCTCTTCTGTTTCATGAATACACCAATACATAATCTGTGTAAGTAACTTGATTTGATCAGAAGTTAAAAGCAATAGCATTTTACATGTAACTAAAAAATCATATGTTTTGTGCTTGCCTACGTATGTGCTAGTGCTACTTTTTTTATTCTTACAACTTACAGTCACAGTTCTATTAAGTATGCCATTAGTATCTAATTACGTTTCAGTCAGCAACACCTCCAATACAGTTTAGCACATGAAATGAAAATAAAAGACAAAAACAGAAGCAACAACTTCAGAATAAAGTTCAACATTTTATTTTCAGATGTTAATTTCATCCTAAAACATACGTTTGTTACATCTTTAATACAATATACAGAATAACAAGCAGATAAAACATAAAGACTAGGTTAAACTGAATAAAAAAGTGTGACCAAAAATTATCTAAATTATTTCATTGAGACAATGCAGTAAAATAAGTACTCTGAGTATGAGCTGCTCTTGGAGAAAAACATCAATAAATGTTTAGACCACATTTAAAAACACCTATGTTTCCCCCTCTCCTGACCCAGATTGTTATAGGTGGGAAGATAGGGTAAGATTTTTTTTAAGAGACTTAAATATCGTAAAACATAAAGGAATATAAAACAATACCAGAACTAGAAATATTTAACATAACAAAAACATTACACAAATGACTAGAACTTTCTCATTTGCAGTTGAAATGATGTGTCTGCATCATCCTATTTTTGAACTTCTGAATTTACGCAGCTAGCTCATGGATGTCATTTCACAGTTAATTTAATATATTTAAGTGTACTATCAAACTTTTATACTTCCAGAAATATCTGTGGTGAAACAAACAGTTCTGATCAATTTACTAAAAATTGGAACTCTTATGATATCAGTCTTGTGCAGAACAACTGTTTTCAAGTCGAGAACAAGATCACTGTATAAATTCTTTAAACTTGTATAATTTGTTAATATATACAATTTTGTTTTCAATCACTAGTCTAAGATAATAATAGAACATATGGTAAAAAGTCATTTTTTTATTCTATTTTTATCATACTTCAAAACAGGCTAGTTGTTCCAAATTATAATAATTTGGAAGAACTGTATGAAAATCCTTTGCAAATAAAATTGCCAGCACTTTCACAAATGGCACTTCTTTAATCAAGACAGCAAGGAATAGATAAGAACCAGAACCAAAGCATAATAACATTCAACAATTTTTTGAGAAAAAGAAAAAAAAAAGTCCTTTCTAACAACTGAATACAATTTTGCAAGCTAGGCTGAAATTTTTGGATCAGCCAGGACGGGGGAAACAAATAATATTTTTATTTTGGCCTTACTATAACCAACTATAGTAGTCCTCACTGAAAGCTCATACTACTATTATGGTTCACAAAGTTTGAAATTCAAAATCATATACATAAAATAATACATGTATTTTAATACCACGATAGACTGACTTCTGTTGAAGTGAGTACACAACAAAATAACATACAACTTTAATCAAACAAAAACAATGTACCCGAGTTTGAAAAGTCACCAACAGCTAATTCAGTTTAGGTAACCTAGTATCTGTTTAACAATTATTCCATAATACATATAAGCTTGGATTCATACTTCAAGGTAATTTCTGCCCTGAGACTGAACAGCTAGTAAGTTTTCTATTCCTATGGTAGTGTAGCATAAACTACAAAATTTGGCAGATTCTGAGGTTTACATCAGTAAACTAGTACATTGTCAACTGTTTACAGCTCATAATTTTCATTCTGACAAAGAATATATTTATTCAAATTCCTACAAAACAACTGGTTCATTTACTAGCTATATGTTCTGTCAAGTACTACCCTGACATAAGCCAACAGGTTTTGTGTTAAGTTTGTCAAAAATGCATTTTAATTAGGTAGGCATTAAACAATGCAATACTCGTTACCTGGACACAATCCAAGATATATTCTGTGGCATATTATGCATGTTTATCATCATGTTGGTTAAAACAAAACAATCAATACTTACCATCTTGGCAAAAAACTGTTTTTGTGTGTCAGATTGTGCTAATTTGTTACATATAAGGTATGCCATACTTCACTACCCTGGTGCAAAAACAAAATGCTAGTTTTTGTGTCAAACTGTGAATTAGTTTATCACATGTAAAGCATGCAATACTCACTACCCTGACCAAAAAAGCTAGTTTCTCTGTATCACATTACCAGCATTACAAAAAATATGCAATAGATACTATGCTGACATAAATCTGCTAAATTTATAGAATAATCATCTGCAATTCTCTTATGATGCTATTTATAATGTAATAGTTTTTCTCCTTACATAAAATCAAACTGCAATTATAGTAAATACACTATTACAGCCACATCAGGTAATCTTTCAAACTCATTTAACCTACACAAGTTCTAGTTACCATAATTCAATTATATTAGTATCAGTATTTATTGTCACACCTTATGAATGAAGCTAGCTTGCTTATTATGTTTACATAAATCAAAATACAATGCTATTTAAACAAGTTTGATACTTAGTATCGAATATACTGGGTCATAGTATGGTATCCTTGCATGTTTCTCGGGCCCACATCGATCTACATACAACACTGGATAACGTGCTTTTATTTTCTTAATACCCAATTTAATATTCCCATTATTCGTGCTTTCTATCTTAAACTTTTAGTTATACCAAAACACAAACTGAGTATAATTAAATCATTCTACCACAAATAGCATTTACTCTGTTATATTAGACATCTTTTTTATCTTTATCTTCTTGTTCCTATACTACTAACTCTTATGTTGCTATCAAATAGCAAACATGCATGCTATAAAACTATATATATAAGTCAACAAATAGTACTGGTTACCTTTAATCAGTCAAACGTTTACTGTTTTGTGTTACTTACACTTGCTGGCTTGTAACACTCATTAATACAAAACGTTAAGAGTAAATTTAGTGTAACATTATGCATGGTAATTATTTTAAGCCTACATAAATCAACAAAAAGTCATCAAACTAATCTACTAAACACTTAACACTATTATGATCACAGTTAGTTGCTTACAGTATTCCAGTTAGTATACCTTCTAAGCAATCAATATTCATATGTCAAAATTCCAAATAGGTCATTCACACAAAATACTTATATTATTTTGAAAGGACATGAAGATAGTCAGTCATCCAGGCTATTTATGTATTGTTATGGCACTATTCTTCATGCTGGTGATTTAAGTCAGTCAATAATGAATTTTGTTATATCCTACTAATGGTCTTAGTTTAGTATGTTTTGGTTTTATATTATTTTGAAATTAAAAGCTAAGTACAGTTATTGCTCAGTTTCTATGGTTTGTCTAGTTGATTATCAGATAAGTGTTTTAAACAAGTGCTCAACATGAGTATGGGTAATTATTCAGGTTTATAACTGATCAAATGGGTGTACACTCAAGACATCAATTCATGAAAATAGAAAATTATTATAAAAAAAAAAAAGAAAGGGCAAGGCAAGAAAAAAAGAACAGACATAAAGCTAAAGAAAATGTTGAGTTACAAGTAAACATTACAACTTGGCACATTCAAAAACTTTGGTTTAAGTGTTAAGGCTATCTTAAACATCTGATTACTTGATAAACTAATCATAAGCCCATATTTATGCGTATTTGTTACCAATCCAGTAACATTTTATTTCTAATTAGTTTATTGCACATGTCATTCCTTTATTAACTTAAACTATGATTAGGCAAAATATGCCACCATATTCTAACATACGAGTTTAAATATTTACTAACATTTAATGTACCTTGATAAGCATGATACTACATAAATTCAAAGTTGCATGTCTGCACAACAACTATCGAACAGAGTCTAGATGCACAAATTCTTAATATTTCATTAAAAGAAATAAAACTTCAAATTAAGATTTTCAAAGACAGATAAATGATAAGCAGTAACCTGACTTCAAAAGTACAATTTATCAAACAAGTATGAGACACTGAAAAATATTCTCCATTTAAAATTATAAGTTAACAGAGATATGTGTGGAACAATGGACATTAAATTGACCTTTCATTGTAGCAGGTAAGAATCGAACAATGAATACTAGCCTGATATTTACATAAAACCTTAAATAGGGTAGATGTCATAAAGGTTACTAATTCAAGAATGTGAAGCACAAGGTGAACAAGTAAGGATGTGATGAAAGTTACTAAATCAACATTTCAAGCACAAATTGAACAGGAAAGGATACAATGAAGATACTAAGTAGCTTTACAAGTAAAAGTTTAAAGAATTAAAGATATAATGAAAGAAACTAACTAGACTTAAATAGTTGTAAAAACCAATTGGGGCAAATTTATATAAACTAAGACTTATAATTCATCAAATGTGTGTGACAAAAATAAACAGAGCCTGAAGTTGAAATAAAGAGTATTACATGATACTGATGGGTCAGTAATGGCTTTAAACAAAAATACAAGAAGTATGAGAACAAGTAACTCTGAGACTTGAGATATGAATATCCTTGATTGTAATATAATAATGTTTGCAAAGAAGACTTCAGAAACATGATTTGTAATGCACACAAAACACAATAAGAGACCGAGCCAAATTCAGCTATAGGGCTTCAAACGTTTATGTGGGGAAAATGAGACAGCCATATTTTAAACATAACACTCCTGAAGAATGCGTGTAATAGACTAGACTTAGTGATTTAAGATGTAGATATTGGACACACAAGCTAAATACCAAACAAATCAATGAGATCCTGTGGAACAGAACAGAGTTTAGAAGTGTCTGTGATAACATAGTAGGGTTTTAAACTTTAGATGCCGGAGGCCACCAGTGTTTTCATGAATATTATCCTTCATGAGTGTATATAAGCAAAACATAAGACAAACAAAACTTCATGTGTACTGAATTCTAGATGTGTGTATATCAGATAAAGATGCTCAGACCAGACTAGTGTGTGTGTGTGTGTGTGTGTGTGTGTGTGTGTGTGTGTGTGTGTGTTACAATGTAGGTCAAACAAAACCATAAACATGTATAAGTATTTGTAATGGGGTATTGTGGAACACACAAAATTTGGTGGTAAATGTAGGATTACAGATGAATACATGGTATAAAATGGAATACTAATTTAGATGTACATGTACAGTAGAATTAAATATGAATGTATGGTACAATATGGAATATACTAGACTGTACAGATAAATTGGATTCAAGATGAATATATGATATATCGTGGAACAATAGAACTTACAAGTACATGTACAGTAAGATTAAAGATGAATATATGGTATAATGTGGAACACACTAGATTATACATGTACATATAGACTTCAAAATGAGTAAATGGTATAACGTGGCATATAATAGACTATACAGTTAAATTTAGGAAGATTCAAGTTGAGTATGTCTTTAACAGAAAGCACATTAGGCTTCAATATCATTAAATGAGCTTATAAATGGGTTCATGCAAGATTCATGGATATAATACATAACATAAAACAATAAACTTTTATACATTCATGTAGGCTTCCTAATTAATACATTGTATAACGTGTAACAAATTACATTTGAAACTGAGAATCAAACACCATACACATCAGAATTTAGATATGAAATTTCAAAAGTGTATATGAGGCAATGTGAACTACATTATAGATAGTTTTAAAAATACAAGTATGAGACAATGTCACACAAACTAGGTTGCAATGTAGGGTTTTAGATGCGAGGATACAACAATGTAAAATGTACACACAACACTACATAACTGTGTGTGAGCGATAAGACAGATCATGCTTTATGTATAGTATTCTTGGTGTGTTTATGGAACAGACTAGTTATTTAATGAGTGAACTAAATGGTGGAAGCAAAACTAGATTAAATATTATGCTTGGGAAAAGGTAAAAAGTCCATAAAAGACTTTTTATTTGTAACTGGAACAACACATTAAATTCTAAGCTTAAATAATAACTTAAGGCTAAAGTGATGGATATGAACAAGACTGAAACACAAAATTTGATAAGCATAATAACGAACGTAAATTAAAATTTTGACACAGCACTCTGAAAATACAACAGGGATCTCTGTGAAAGCAAACATGGGATGATGGTTGGAGACTATGTGTTAAGCATAGAACTCTTTGCTGCTACCTGGGGTATAAGGATTGCCCAGTGGAAACCTCTTAGGTTCACCTAATGGATAGCTTCCTTCATCCTTCTTCCTCATACGGTAGACAATGAATATCACTACAAGAATGGCACACAGCAATCCAACTATTGCTCCACCAATCACAGCTACAGAAAAGAAAGAATATATACATTACATAAAATACATATATGTATGTGAAATATTACATTTTTTCTAACTAATATATGAAAAAGTACAATTTATACAAGTTTTTGACACCTTAAAAATTATACAAAAAGTAAATAAATGTCTATTATGGAGAAAGATACATGTATAAAAATCAACTGCAGCACTTCTAACTAACTAAGAAGGAAAGCAATACAATTCAATTACATTAGAAAATGTTAACAGTGGGAAGGAATATATGAAGTAAATACAATAACAATTACTATTATCATAGATCACAATCTATAGTCAACTACGTTATTTTCTATAGATCATGGTATGTATGATTTAACTAGCTTACAACTGTTACTGGCTCTCTCTCTCTCCATATATATATATATTTTTTTTTTTTAAAGAAACTTTTAAACATTACTCCCACAATGGATGATAAAACATAGATCAAATATAGTCACACATTTGGTTGGTTCAGTGAACTGGGATGGGAATATGATTTAACTACAAAACTCATGTTTTTCTGATGGGATTATTTTGACAAAGCTAATTCCATTGATTATTGGTTTTAGCAGGTATCTTCAATATTCTG